CTATAGCAATATAAACTTTAAAATTGTGAGTGAAAAATAGTGAGTGAAAAGTACGTTACAGCTAATCGTTTATGCGGGTATTGTTGACTTTTTATCGTTGATTTATATAAGACTTACAATACATTAAGAATCATGCATACTTGCAAGACAGATTATGACAAAGTTATTAAATAGGCATACACACAAATTCGAATGATTAAAGACTCATCATGCCTAAAAGATCAATACTTAATCACGAACATTGACGAATGTCCTTGATCAAGTTATTGCGTAGACACACATGCAAATCTAGATGATTTAACACATGGTATCAACGATTATGATTCATTCATGTGCGTAGAAAATTGTCCTTAACAAAGTTATTGCATAGACACGCACCCAAGTCCAGATTTGAAACCCACGATTCATCTACTATCAGAATTAACATGAGCAAGAGATTGTCCTTGACAAAGTTATTCTGTGCTCAATCCTGAATGATTTGATCCACGATTATTGACGATCATAATTCGTTCACGCAATCAGTGACAAAGTTATTGTGTAATTTGCTTAAATCTATACATATTCAGGTAATTCAGAATTCGAAAATCTCAATGCATCAACAATCAAAATTTACTTACAAACGAACCCTTTCTTAATAAAATAGAAAAGTAAAATATGTCGTTTGTTTTGTCGAAAAAAGTAAAATATGCCGTTGATGGTCGTTTCTAGGGCATTTAGGTATTGCCGTTAACCTTGTGACGAGTAAAATACCAAGAAAGGACGTACTCATCCGTTTGACCGGCAGCTTGCGCGTATAAAGTCCCAGTCTTTGTCATCACTAACCCCCCAAGGAAGATATCCAAGAACCGAGTCCAGTCAAAACATTACACCTCACCCGTGCACTGCACCTTCCCCTCCCTTCCCACCCTTTCTTAATTGCCTTCTTTCTCCCTTTCGGTACCAGTCCAAGAGCCTCCGATCATTCTTCGAGACCCAAAACTCGAAACCGAAGATTAAGACATGGGTTTTTTGAAGGAGGAGAAATCGAAGAGGGTTCTGAGAGGGGTTAAGACTCTGTTTTTCTTGATTACTATGTTGATTTCTCTGCTGCTGTTTTCGGCCCCGATTCTGCTTGTGATTGCCGACACGCTTGTTCCTTCGGCTATACTTTCTGCCTCTTCGTCTTCTTCTTTGATTTCTCTTGAAACGCTGTCGTCCCATTTCAATAACTACGATTTTCGATCTTCCCTCGTCGATATTCCGTTGATTTCCATCCTAAGATCAGCTGTCATATTTTGTAAGCCTTAATCCTTACTCTTTTCGTTGCTTGTTTTTTTCGTACTACATGTTTTTCTTTCACTTTCTGAGCACAAAATTAGGTGAGTCAGGTCAGTCGGCCTGCCGTAAGATATGAGTTACTTCAGTTGGTCTGCCGTTCAATGATCACGCTTGTATTGGGATTGCAGAAATGAGTTAGGTTAGATGGCTAGGACGGCAGAACACGCTTGTATTGGGATTGCAGAAATGAGTTAGGTTAGCTGGCTATGACGGCAGAACATGTGTCCTGTCGCTTTGCACCCGAATTTGATTCGCAAAAAGCATAAGTCTCGGGATTGCAGCCGTGAGTGAGGTCATTTGATCAGAACAGTTGATCATGCTGCTTTAGAATCCTAATCCAAAAAGCATATCTTTTTAGATTGGATACATATGTTAGGTTAGTTGGTGAGGTAAGTGTGTCATCTCTCATGAGCTATGTTTTAGGATCGTAGACATGAGTCAGGTCAGCTAGTCAGAATAGCGTGTTTTGCCACCTCCCGAGTTTGAATCACCTTCCCGTAGCTAATCATGGTGAAATTAATCTGAATTGGGTTTTTCTTTTACCTGCAGGCGTTTACAGCTTCTGTGATGGACGAAGGCTATCACACGGACCGTATTTGGGGATCACAACCATGTGTTCTGTTGTGTCCCTGGTGTTTGTTTCATTGAAGGCTTCGTATGTGTTTGGGGCTTCCGGTGTGGAGAGGGCAGAGTATGTGAGAGCAACAGATATTGCTTTGTTCGTCTGCTCGCTGGTTTTGGCCGTTGGGCATATTGTGGTGGCCTATAGAACAAGTTGCAGAGAAAGAAGGAAGCTTTGGGTGTACAAAATTGACATTGAAGCTGTAAGTCCTTTCTCTCTCTGTCTAATCTCCATTTTCTCAGATGAAATCGTGTCAATTTTGGGCTGTAAGTTTTGACTTTAATTGGAAGAAATGGAGTTCTTAAATCAAATGACAGACAAAAGTTAAGCTAGTTGGTTAGGTTTATGTGAGCGCCTCCTTAACGCAAGTTCAAATCATCTTATGACGAGTTAGCATAATATAGAATATCGCTCCCTGAAAAGAAGGGCAAATCTTGCTCCCACTTGTCAGTGAGAAACGCTTGAAAACCAAAAGTTTCCTTCTTTTCTAAAATGGTGTTTTAAGTGTTTTTGATGATAAAATAGGTATTTTAAGTGACTTGTTCGTGAATAAGCGTATCAATAAATTGAGATGTCTGTTGTTCAACCACTACTGTTGAAATTCGCTTGAAAGTTTCATTTCAATTGGTGGTTTTTGTTTTGGTCAATAATTTAATTGCTGGTCGTGAAAGGGTTGAGTAATTGGATTCTAAATTTCTAGTCTTCTGGAAGGTCAAAATTCATTTTCCATTTTTCTTAAGGCAACATTGAAAACGTTTACGATGCTTGCTTCTTACCGTATTAATATTAGTCTTTGTCCATAATCCCTGCTTTCCATTGTTTTTTTCTTTTCTTGGTGAATTGTCAAAATATATTGGCTTTTTAAACGAAATGGTTGACACAACTTCTCACTTTGGTCCCTAACATTGAAACTCGATAGAAGTGGTCACTGACTCTATCCATTGTCAATTCTTTGGTCATTTTTGTGAAAAATTTTCGTTAAATGAAAAAAAAATAAAATGTGGAGGTAATGATTTGACAAAAATACCTTCAATTTTAACAGAGATTTATCAAAGAATGACCAAAATGAATGACGATGGACAAACTCAAGACTACTTGTATCAATTTTTCATCTCAAGAATGAAAATGAAGACTTATATCAAGCATTTTAACTAATAAAGCCAAATATATCACTGAGTCCTGTGTTAAGAGGAAGAATCCGTGATGGGTGGCCGTCTACAGAGATGGGCAGCTCTGCCTTTATATTCGAATTGTTGACCACATGCCATTTGCAGCAACGCTGCCAAATATTTTGTCACATCAGAATAAACTACTTTCTGCCATGAGAATCTTCCCCAAATCATGTGCTTTCTGCTAATCCCCAGTTAATCATAATTAAACATGATTAAGCATAAAAAAGTTCATGATTTATCAAATGCTGATGTGAAAATTGCCGTCTGTTTGCAGGTTTCAGCTTGCAAAAATGGGTTCCCTAGGTACCAGAAGCTTCTGAAAGAAGAAAGAGTGAAGTAAACTCACACGAACCAACCCCAATCTTAAGGGTCTACAGGTAATTTTGGTTTTGCAGCGATTAATTTTCGGTTTTGTTTGGAAGTGTTTTTATAATGGTTAGCAGCGTTTTGAGATAACAAAAAACGCTTATAACAAAAAGGAGTTTTAACCAAAATGGTTCATGACATTGACATAACTCGTCCCTGCTCACTTTGGTTCTTGAGATTTGAAATCGATATGAGTGGTACCTAAGTTTGTCTACCGTCAATTATTTTGATCATTCAGTGAAAAATATATGTTAAATAAGGACCAAAATGATAAAAATATATTCAATTTCATAAACAATGGGCCAAAATTAACACAAATTGATGGTATTTTGGTCATTTTCTCATTATTTAATGAAGATTTTTTACTGAATGACCAAAATGATTGACGGTGGACAAACTCAGGGATCAATCTGTCGATTTTAAATCTCAAAGACCAAAGCAAGGGGTTATGTTAATCTCACGAACCATTATAGCTAAAAAGCCTAACAAAAACACGTACAAAAGTGCTTTCATTCCATTTCCCTATCTTATGTTCTCTTCTCGTCTCGGTGGCTTTTGTTTTGGTGCAGATTTGTTAAAAGTATATAGACGAAGCTATAGAAGCAGCCCCTTCAATCAACATCATGTTGTGCAAATGGAGGTTGTGTATATATTTGTTCATCACAGAGAGAGTACAGAGGTTGTTACCACTACGGCAAATACCATCATTTTTTGTTCTTCTTTATATTCATCAAGTGTACAGTTTAATTTGTATGTAAAAGGCATAATATTTATGAAACTAGCCCAAGCTAGGGTTTTTTTAAACTTGTGCTTGAAGTTAATGAAATTATTGTTCTCAGAACTATCCGTATGAGCAACTTAGTGTAATATATGTAGAACACTAAATTGACATGATATTAAAACTCGGTTACGTAATATTTTTTTTTTTGAAAGTGTTGAAAGAGATTTTAGATTGACATTTTGAACTTCGACTAAATGTATTGTGTGTTGTGTCATTTATTTTAGACAAAAAACGTCTTTCTTTTGTCAAATAGACATAAAACGTTTCAAAATACCGATAAATTTTTAATGACCTGAAACACGTATAATCATTATCACCAATATTACGGACACTCTAAAAATTCTCTACCAAATAGCAACGTTGGTGTCGCGCTTGGCTCGTGTGGCGGGGGCATTGGTAAAACGCAATGCGCGCTTCTACATTGCCCCCACGTGCAATACAAAACTCAATGAAACGACGTTGTCCCGCTGTTTAACCCCCGCAACGTTTAAAGAAAAAGATTAAAAATTTTGAATTTTAACGATAATGACAAAATAAAAAGTAAAATATATAATACAAGAATTAATATTTTAATGTAAAAATATAATTTTTCGTTAAAATAAACCGTATCGAAACTTTTCATTAAAGATTCTTTAAAAAAAAGCAAAAACTACAGTGCGAAAAGAAGCCTCCACAAACTCCATTAAGGAAAAGCAAAACCACGGTGCGAAAAGAAGCCTCCACAAACTCCAGAGCTCGGAAGAGAAAGTGATAGAAAATGAGGTACAACTTCGACCTGCAGGAAACGGAACCGGAGCCGGGGCGGTCTCCGACGCCCCAAAGAGACGAAGTGGAGTGGGTCCAGCTGCAGAACCACCCGGTCTTCTCCTCCTCCGCCGCCGGTCCGGTCCACGACTCGACCGCGGCTCGAGCGCCCAGAAATCTCTTGGCCTGGGACGGAGCCTCTCGGCTTTACTTCTGGGACTCCGATAAGCTCTGCCTTCACCGGATCTCTATCCGGCTGGGCGAACCGGACCCGACTTCCGTCATCGCTTCTTCGCCTTCCAAGGTTTCCTCTCTTTCCCTCATTTTTTTTTTTTTTGAAATTTCAATTTCTTTGGTTCTGTTTGGTTGCTGAGAAAATTGAAGGATAAGAAAGTAAATGCACTCGAATGGTACTCAGCTGAGCTTAATGTAGTTGGTTGCATAGCTTGAAGTTTTATGGTAACAAAAAGTGATTATTGAAGCGATACTTTGTATAAGAATTGAAAATTATACTGTGAATTGAATTTTCGGGCATAGTGTGGTTATGATTATCGACTAATCCTGGAGTGTACTATCTATGTCAGTTGTACTTATCTTGTTGATGATGCCTGTAATTCGATAGGTATTGCAAACTGATGTAAAGCTCGACTTTGCGGTTCACAAAATCTCAATCAATAGGAATGGATCAGCATTGCTTCTTTCTGGTTCGGGTGGTCTCTGCGTTATGTATCTTTATGGGCGGACTTCCAACAAAGACAATGCAACCATTTGCAGGTATGACTGGAAAAATGGAATTACGTTATCAATTTTTGTTTTCATCTTAAACATATTTTGCTGGGGTGTCTTAGAGAGCAACCTGAGTGATGAATCATAATGATGGTTTAGATTGTACGCTTTTTTTGGGGAGGGGTGGTGGTTATTCCCCTGCTGATCTTTCTCTCTGAGCACAATATGATTATTTAGTTCCCCTCTCCCCTTCCCTCGTCATCTAGCATCATGATTTTGTATTCATGTACTAGCCTGTTTTCTCTTTCTGAAAATGTACTTGTGGATATGACCGTATGAGCTTAATGGAGATTGTGTTGCAAATTAAATAGTTTTGATGTTCCAAAGTAAAGATTCTTAATGTATCCGTTATTTTTTAAATAAAACCTTACAGGACTGTAACTGTTGGTTCACAAATCTACTTAAGAGGAAACAATCTCATACGTGTACTGCAAGTTTCATGGCATCCTAACAGTGACACCCACCTGGGAATTCTTTCTTCTGATTCAGTTTTCAGGTATGAAATCTTTTTCAAATGTAAAAGAAATTCTTTGAGGTCTTCTTAGGTTTCATCAGATCGAGCATTAGCTTGTATAAATGGTGTTTCTTATTCATATTGTGTTTGATTTAGACAAAAAAAAAAAAAACATTGTGTCCGGTTTTGATTAGTGTATCTGTGAATTTATTTTAATTTTTGTGTTTTGAACAATTAATGTCCTTGTATCTTCATTTACCTTCACTTTTTTTGTAGAATATTTGATTTGTCTTCAGATCTTATTCAACCAGAGCAAGAATACTATCTACAGCCTGTGCAACCAGGTCGATCCAGGAATGCGACATCAATTTGCCCAGTTGACTTTTCATTTGGGAGTGAACACCTGTGGGATTCGTTTAGTGTAAGTTCATTTTAAAAAAATTGACTTTGGTAATTTATTTTGTCATGCCTTTTTTTTTTTGTTCAAACACTGATGCAATAGATTGGAATGCTCTTGGTCTTTTGTTTCCTGTGGCGTCATTTATTGTTCATCTGTAATATGATTTTTCCTTGAAATATTATCTGTTTCTATCATTTAAGTCATGAAGATATAAGCTATTCTATTAGGATTTTTCAAAGCTTACGTTTGTTTTAGCATAACACATGTTTCAACTGTTTGATCATCTATTTTGTTACTATGGTCATTCATATTAGGCAAGTTGAGTTTTACATTTTGACCGTTTTAACTGTTTTATCACGTAATTTGCTTAAATTCTCATTCATATGCTATTGTACAGGTTTTCATTTTGTTCAACGATGGTTCAATTTACATCCTTTGTCCTGTTGTACCATTTGGAAGGTATTTTATTCTTCATGTCGTGCCCTTTTGTAAGGCTTATAGTTTTTTCTTAAGAGGAGCTACAGGTAGGCCTAGTTGATCAACTAGAGATCAACTAGGCCTGGTGACCAAGGTATTTTTAATTTGTTTAAAAGCATAAAGATTCGGGATACCTAAAGCAAGAGGATTGTATGGTTTCAACTATCATTTGCCAGGACACGTGCCATGTACTAGAAAGCTGGATGCCTGAGTTAGTCCTTTTAGGAACCTTTCAGAAACGTTTAATTTACAGAGAAGACTTAAAGTTGTCCTAATACGTTTTTGTTGGAACTATGACATAATATTCCTCCATGTAAATCTGGTGCTTCTGTGTCGCTTAAAGGTTGTGAAGTATTTAACCGAAAGGCTAATGTTATAAATCAAAGCGAAATATTTAACTGATAGTCTTTTCCCCTTGCATCACTGCCTTGAGTTTTTACCATTATATAGGCTGTAGCATCTTGGGGTGTTAGAAGTATTTATACCTTGTAGCCATCGTATGCTAACTGATCTTTGTATTGGGTGCTGAGCATAATAAATTGTTTTCTTTTGAACAGTGCCTACAAATGGGAATCCATTGTAGAGATACATAATGATGCTCAGACATTTGGCCTGAAGTCAGCCAATTCAGTGGCTGTTAGTAACTCGAATCTAGCTATTTCTTGGTTGGAAGCAACATTTCCAGCAATCACAAACCAAGAAACAGAAGGATCAGATCCATATGTGATAAAAGCTCATCCGTATGCTATATTTGATGCCTCACTCTCACTGCAGGTATCTGTGCTCTCTTACCTATAAGCGTGCAGTAGTTACTATAGCTCTATCTATGCTCCTGAGTAAATTATGTGTCGGCACTAGCTACAATTCCTTGATAATTTCATTTACTTCAAAGTTGCTGCCCTTTATCTGTTTGAATCTCTCCAAGTAAATTTGAACGAATAGCTTAAAGCCTACTCTCTTTCAGTGTTGGGTGTCTTAAGTTGGAAATCTGTAGAAGTCCGCAGTATGACCTACATTGTAATTTCGCAGGGACCTCTGAGGAAAGTGTGTCATGGTGAGGATGAAGAAGATTTGGCCTTCCGGGGTGCAGAATGTGAAGGTGGAGCAGTCAGTCTTCTTTATAATTTAGTCTTCAAAGACTCAATTCTGGTGACTGCCTGGAGTGGTGGGCAATTGCAAATAGATGCTATGGCTGATGAAATCCAACCGTTGTGGAATGCTGGCAGCCCACCTCGACTTCGTGTTGATTCCCACGATCATATTCTTGGTATTGCAATGATTTGTGAGCCAACCCCAGGCAAGCTTTCACCTGTGAAGCTTGATCAACCTCTTGATAGTACTCTTTGGTTGGGACTTCCTCCCCCTCTTTTGAGGTTGGCTATTGTGGATCTGGCTTTGCCTAGGAAAGCAAAGAGTGGTTCTCTTATTATGATGTTTACTGATCCGCTGATGCCGGAAAGAATATACACCCTTCATGATGGAGGGTTAGATTCAATAGTGTTGCATTATCTTCCATTTACAAGTCAGATCAGTGGCAAGAACGAGACTATGAGAACTCCTTCTGTGCATCCTGTTCTAAGCACATGCCAGGGAGAAGTCCCCTCACAATCTCCACTTTCCGGTTTTGTGTCATTATCAGATTCATTTGGGTGTTCCTGGATTGTGGGACTCACTGTTTCGCGAGAATGTATAGTGCTGGAGATGAAGACTTGGAACCTGTTACTGCCTCATCAAGTTGATACGGAGAACAAATCTCTTTGCCTGGAAGAACCAAAAGAAAAAGATATGCCAGATCTTATAAGCAAAGAACTACTAGTTGGACCTAAGGTGGTTCTTCTTCCTCAGAGCTCACCAAGTTTACGTTCTCTTTCTGCTGATTCTATTGAAGGTCGATCAATGCTTCATGAGTACTTCAGAAGCTTTCATGAAAATTATGCGGAGTATGCATATAAGGTAACAATGCCAAGAAATACAACAAATTATGTTTACTTGTGTCAAATCTACCTTATTAAGGGAAATGGTTCCTTTTGTTCCTTTATGAATTTTTCCTCCACCCTCTAGGTTTACTTTGAACTCAAGCATCATGGACCCATCTTGAAGAGGATAATTGATGACCAGCATGCTCGCCTAGGTAATGCACAACAGAGGCTTTCGCAAGTTGAGGAGAAACAATCAAAATTGGAGGACAGAATTGACAGTGCGTTCAAGATGCAAAATCTTCTGCAGGAGCGCTTGAAACGTTTGAGGGACTTGCCAGGGCCTCATAAGAAACCACTGTCCAGAGCTGAGCGAGAGTTCAAGTCGGAGCTTGGTAATGACCATTTTTCAATAATAAGTGTACTAATGTAGCTTTTTCCATAATAAATGAGCTTAGGAGTTATGCCCTAGTTCGTGGTCAGTAATTTTCCGTTTTCCTAATTTACCGGTTCCCTAAATCGTCATAATTCACACCTGCTTAGGTTACTAGCCTGTACATTTTTGGTCAGGAGTTATGCCCAGCACTACTTTTTCACTTCTAACATACATTTTTGTTGCTAAGCAGACCACTTCTCCGAAGTTGAATTGGATGCATTGCGTTCTTCCATTAATGCTGTAACTGCAAGGTTTAAAAGGCACACACAATCGCCAAAGGGCAATGCATCAAACCAACGTAGGCTGATGGCAAAGGGGAAAGATCCTGTGCAAGAATCTCAAGTCTCCCAGCTGAAATCCTCACTTGAGAAACTTTCACTGCTCAATAGTGAAAATTCGAAAAAGGTTAAGCTTGTTGAATCTGCATTGAAAAGTCGGGAAACCAGCAGATGTTGAGACCTACTTTGTTTCTGAATCTGCGATTAAGTTATGGTAACTCGGATGTAAGTTTTGAACCTGGGGCGGTGCACAATGTGTCATTCCATCAAGACGGTGCCATTTTGAACGGTATGGCCCAGCAGATGTGCAAGTCGAGCGGAAGCTTCTAGCAATTGAAGCCGGGGGGCACCAACAGCTCTACTGCTGTAGTTATTCTGGCATGCTTGTAGTGGCAGATGCTCTCCTTGAGAGACGACGAATTGTGTACAAAATAATTGTAGTTTTTCGTTACCCAATTTCGGCTTCTTTCATTTTACAAGATGAGAAATGTTGAATCTGTCGAAACATTATTGAATGTGTCGCACTTGTAATGCATTTTTGGTCGATTCATTTTCTCTTCGGAATTATATGTTTTTGTTGTAATTGGTAACGTGAGTTGAACTAATCAAAATCAAATACAAACGGCAAATTGATTAAAACTAGAAAGTAATCATTTCAACAATTAAAGGTTTAAGGGATTCTTAGATGCAACCGAGAACGTATCCCAATGACGGCCCGCCGGAATGATGATGTGGACCAGGGCCATAAACGCACGCAGAAGAAGGGCTCGAGGAGGAAAAGATTTTCAGGTGGATTTCCTTTTTAATAATTAAAGCACATTAAAGCTGGGCTAAAACCTACAAGAGCTGCAAAATCTGCAGTCACCTACAAAACCTCCACGTTCAGAAGGGAAGAGAAATCAATTAAGGGATCTTTAACGAAAAAGCTCTCGATATTGTTTATTTGAACGAAAAATTATATTTTTACACTAAAAAGTCAATCCTATTACTATTCACTTTACCCTTTATTTTGTCATTTTCGTTAAAACTCAGTTTTCAAGCCATTTTCATTAGTTTTCCTATCAATTAATCATTTGATTTAATTTCACTAAACTATTAATTAATTAATTAATTAATAATATAACTTTATTGGGTTGGAGATCAAAGGATATTACAGCTCTAGTACTACTACATAATTTCCTGACTCATTTGCTTTCTCCTCTGGTTTACTCTTTACATTGCCCATATGACACATTGTTCCTCCGCTGCACATTGATCGGGTACCTCTTCTGCGTCCTCGTCGTCGGAAAAAACACCAGCTTATCTTCCTCATCAGGAACCCAACTGCTAACACAAACAATCAGCATCGTTAGTTTAACGGGAAATATGCGCAAATACAAGTTGTTGCAAATCTAAACAAACAATAACCCGTACACATAAAACATTTTTTATGCCACTTTATTGTCAGTTTAGTGTTTGTGATTAAAAATATAATACCAATTCTATTTGTGCAGATTTACATAGTTTTTTTGGGTACCTGAAACGAGTGACTAAGTGGTGAAGGAAGACCGAGATTTCTACTCTGGCAAGCTCATAGCCTGGGCACAGCCTTGGCCCTCCTCCGAATGGTGTGAACACATTTGCTGGGCTTGTGACCGGTCCAGAGTTGTTCTACAAAAATCATGTTTTTAATAAAAAAAAATTATAACATACTTATCAGGCAGAGATGTATAATTAAGTACCTGCCACCTCCATGGATTAAAAGTTCGAGCGTCCTTGAAATGATCTTGATCAAGATGTACAGCACGGAACGATGCAAATACCTTCCAACCTTTAGGGATTGTGTATCCTGTTTATAGTATTTTCACCGATTAATAACTTTATTCGCGTGCATAAGAATTTGTAAAATATCCAGTTCGGATTCGGAATGCAGGTTGTTTACGTGGTATAGAAAGTTGTTACCTTTAATGTGAACATCTGTCATTGCCCGCCTAAATATCCCGCTAATTATGTTTGCTACTCGCAGTGTCTCGTTTACAACCTAAATTTCAACGAACAAAGTCAATCGACTTTGAAGAACTAGAGTCCGACAATTCACAAGCATGTTTGGCAACGGCACAATGTTGGATTCTAATAACACTTACGTTATTTGAGTTCGATGTAATACCCGTACTTATTGAGAGTTTTGAAAGCAATACTTACACACTGAGTGAATGGCATTGACTTATAATCACTCCATTCCAAAGTTTCGGATGACTTTTTGTTCGCCCTAATTTGCTCATGTTCTTCCTGCATTGTGGATTCAGAACTTCATTAACAATTTAACAAACATTTTACCTAAAAAACAAAAACAAAAGACTTCTGTTATTCAGCAAAGACAATAATCTGGATTGTCTAGTATGAACCGGCTCATAGCATGAATCGAGATACTTAACCGTTTAACCCTTTAACAATTGCCTAAATCTCGGTCGGTCCATTCTAGCACTCTCGGATGATAACATAATCCGACGGTAGAGCACGGAATATCACTAGAGCGCACGGACACCAAAACAATCCTAGGAATCGAAAATGGGTAACAACCCTAGGGTGCTGACTCCATTGAAACCTCCGAACCCCTTTACACCGTTGGATTGTTGTGGTCCTAGAAATCAGAACCGCACGATTCCCAATGGCCCAGCTTTGGGACCCCTAGGTACAGTAGAATGACCAGAATACCCTCCCAAACCAGCTGCACGTGAAGCAAAGAGGCGACGTAGTCAAAAGACCAAAGCTGCCGAGAATCTGACAATATTTACAGCACACTGAAGCGTGCAGTTTGGAAGGGAGCGAAGGGAAAAAACATGTCATCATTTTGTCCGTTGGTTTTATCAGAATGTTGTCCGGCTTTTACATTCTCCACTTCACTCTATTTTTTGACTACCGTGTAACAATTTAGGCTACATTTTCCCGGTTTAGATAGGGACAATTTCGTCTTTTTAATTCACATTCTCTTTTAACGTCCAACACTCATTCATTTTTCGGTCTTAAAAACGAATAAATCGAAAGATAATTGAAAAGATACAAACATGGAGAGGAATGTCCGACATAGTCATTATCTAATGCAACTTACGACTGATCAAGATACGTGCAATGACTCAGTAAACCATATGTGCGGTCACTTAAACCATAGTTTATCCAATGCAATCTATCCAAAACAAAGTGAATGGCTGAGGATTTAGATAAAAAAGTGGATGTTGAAATGCCCAACATAGTAACGTGAGCATATGATGGCAGTTGCAAGACTAGCAGTCCCCACTAGGCAAATAAAGTGACAAAAGAAAAAGGGACGTTGGGGGAGAGAGTGGCACCTGGAGTTGAGCATGGGCCAGAGGTGTCTCCGTCAAGAACTTTACGGCAAGTGTCATGATTGTTGAGGTGGTTTCATAGCCGGCCACCAGCAAAGCAAGCAAGAAATCCACAATCTCCTCGTCGGAGAGTGCGGTGTCTCCGCCCAAAAGTGCGCCTAACATGTCCTCTTTTATCTGCCCGGCTTCGCTCTCCTCCCTCCTTTGCCTCACTATCAAGGTTAATGCCTCCGCCACCTTTGTCCGCGCCTTCAATTTCAAATTCCCAATTAATTAAATAAATTAGGTTTAAATTTGACAAAAAAAAACTAATTAGGTTTAAATACATAAAAATACACAAAGTCTAACACACTTGACAAACGAAAAATCCGTTATCTTGTGTTTTCAAATAATATAATTCTAATTACGCAATTAATTAAAGGGGCTTTTAGATCCAGGTCCACAAACGTAGAGTGTTTTTAGGAGTGAGTCTAGTTATTAAATTATATGTTTTTATTTCTTTTATACTCATTTTAAATTTTCTAAAAATATTAAAAATCAATTAAAATCTTCTAATATTATGCATTTTCTAACTCCAAAAGAATATATTTAATATCTTATAACAAAAACACTAATATACTAACATAAATTTATCTGCAAAACATTATACCCTAAATCAAGTAACAAATATATGAATGTATATAATACCGATATGAAACCTAATTAAAAGGTAGAAAAAACATAACATACCTACAAGTAAGACACATTAATCTGTGACAGGTTAATTATAAAAAAAAAATATGTCATATAGGTAGATAAAATAATTAACATGTGATATAGGTTGATTATAAAAATTAAAAATAAAATCTATACATGGAGTTTAAATCAGTAGGAAGAACGAGAAATAACAAAAAGATAAATAAAAAAGAAATAAGCAAAGAGATAATTGGGAAGAAATTTGATTTTTATAATAAATTTTATCATTGAACAAATAACTATTGATAATTAAATAATTAAATATAACAAATTGAACTTATTTTAATAAACTGAATTATTCCTACTATTAGCTTAAAAAATTAGATTTATATCAAGTTTCCCCTTAATTAAATCATCGGACAAGAAAAAGAGAGGAAATTACAGTAATGGCCCGGCGGTAGGTGGTGGAAAATAGAGGCAAGGGAACGGAGAAGAAGCCTTCGATCAGTAGGACGTACTCTTTCCTTAGACTCTCGGTCCATTCATTTGGATCAAAGCTCATGAGTTGCTTCACTGCTAGTTCAAAAGTGATCTGCACATAATTTAATTAATTAACTAATAAAAATTAAGATTAATTAAGGATCAATAAAATATAAATCCAGAAGTACACAAGCTAGCAAGAAAATGATGTCTCTAAGGGAATGATTTTATTTTATTTTATTTTGTAGCCGTTTACTTTAAATTGTGGTAACGTGCACTTTGCACTTGTATGCATGTCACCCACACTTTAGGCCATGGGATCCTAGTCACCTCCATTTCTCTTCGACGGGAAGTCGAAACCCCATGAAGCATAATACCATTATAACATGATTAATTAAATTATAACATAATTAATTAAATTAAAACTAACCAATGGGATACAACCAATTATAAAAAATGAATTTTAACAAAAAGCTTCCGGTACTATTCTCTTTAATGAAAAACCATATTTTTACACTAAAAAATCAATCCTGGTACTATATATTTTACCCTTTATTTTATCCTTATATTTTAAACTCAGAGTTTACAATTCTTTTATATTAGTTTTTCTTTATAAAAAACTCTTTTTAATTAAAACATTCCATTGATTATAAAACATTCTAAACAAACTTTACCTTTGTCCTCTACTTTTTGAGGAATAGCAAAAAAATAAAAATTGTCAATATCTCTTTGCATTTTTAATAAAATTATTTGAATACACAAAATTAACAGATTATCAGTCCTGATGACTTCAAACTCTGTTTATTAATAACTGTGCCAATTTTACGTGTCCAAATATCATCTTTGTATAATTGTATTTAATTAAAAAAAAAAAACAACAATATGTAAAAAAACACTATTTCTAACTTGGTGAAGAAAAAATCCAAACTAAAATGTAATAGCTTATCTTGTAAGGTCTTAATTTCGAATTCCGAACCTGCCCTAATCCTATCTTAAAGAAGTAAAGTGGTACACTACCTTTTTGGCCTCCTCCATGAGAAAGATCCGGTCGGCCCATGAATCCATGTTGAGC